CGGATCCTTCGGTGGGTGCGCAGGCAGTGGAACCCATGAAGGGAGCCTGGAGAAGAGGGGATTGGCCGTGATGACGCGGCGACGGCCCCAGCAGAAAGCCGCAACAAGTAAGGGAAGGGGGGCTGTGGTCACACAAGAAATACTCCAAATGAAGGAGTGGCAGGACTTGGTGATGCCTGTGTGCCGGGGATGAGCCGATGGAAGCAGCAGACACACTGTAAAAATGAGGCCACGCGGCCTTTCACGAACGCCACCTCCCCGGAAGACGAGCTTCAACAGGTCGCGACACCTGAGTTTCTTTAAATAGTAAACGCTATCCCCCTAAATATCACAGCTGTGTCCTGCTGGGCATTTCTGTGCCACAGAAGCCACTCAGAAATACATGCTACCCATGCTTTGGCTCACAGATGGTCAATGATTTCAGTGCCACCACGCCCCGAAGGCCAGCATTCTTCCAGCAATAAGATTGAGGTGTGGTGGTGTCCTTCAAGGAGGTTTTCCTGCAATTGCAGAAATCGGTTAAAACTACAGGAAATATGAGTACATAATTTGGGAAATTTGGATCTGCATTTTTCACTAATTGTGTAATAAATACTCGGCCCTATAAATATCCAAATTTAAAAGTCTGCATTGAGATTTCATTCGCCTGAAGGCACTATCAACCAACTAAACTGTGCTTGCCCCTACCAAAATGCTGCACATCCATAGATTTAGACTTCTTCGCATGCTTCTTATGTGTTGGGAGAAGCTACTTTGGGGACACAAATGCCCTTCTCTGTGCCTCACAAATAACGGCATTCAGGGACACAAAGCCCAACTGTTGTAAAAATATTAGTATTCAGATGTTCTTGTGTTTTGTTAATGCATTTAATTAGGTACAATATAGCTATTGTTCTCCTTCCACATTTGCATTAATTTATATTAGCCAGAGAATATAAAGCACAGCTATAAAATCAGACTAATTCTTTCTGTTGTTCTTGCAACCTGTAAATAAGCATTGCATGCCTGCAAAAACTACAGCTTTGTACTGACCACAGCATTCTTCATGTTGCTTTTTCAAACACTACAATGCAACGATGTATTTCATCATATGTTCTAAAGCTTGGTGTTCTTATGCAGTTGAATTTCACCAGTGGTCACAGAAGAACAGTGCCACCGAAGTCTGCTGCCCCACCTGGCCCTGCCTTTTCCGGGCTTGTCCTGGAGTATGTGACCTATTTTTCAGGCATAGGACTCAGCCAGCACAGACACATCAGCAGCTGTATGCACTCCCTTGGGTGCATGGACGAGGACACCGTGCCCCTGGGTTCCGACTGCTGGCGTTACACTTTGTTGTTGGCAGGCATCAGTAGTGTATGTGAGAGCAGGTTAGCCTGCCTGGGAACCAGGTCTTAGGTGGACCCATGATAAGTCTCACTTACACGGCACTTTCTTGACCCAGATGATTTTGATTTAAAAAAAGTCATCAGAAGCATTGGAATCCTTTTTCCAATGAGCAAGTGTTGTAAGTCTGCAAACGTCCATGGATATATGTAGCAGCAGGAGAGCAACCCCGCCTCTCTCCTTTCATGCCCTCCCTCCCACCCCCAGAACCGGGACCCTGCCCTCCTCGCATCCCCCAGAGGAGACCTCAGTGCTGAAGGGGCCTGCGTGTTCTCAGATTCAAAAAAGGCCGATCACTGCAATTAGCCAAAGACCCTGGGAAATACACTGAGAAATAAAGGAGCTGCACTGGGGTCCAAGTGCTTGTGATGGTTTAAAAGCAGAGGGTGCATCTTCACAGGTGCTGTTCTATCTGCACATCACCAGAGGTCAGCCACCTGGGGCACTAGCAGGCGTTCATCTGGCTTCGTCAATAGCACTAGCAATGCAAGAGGCAATCACATTCTTATTAAAGTTTCTACAAGAATTGCTGAACCCGGATTCCAATTCTGATGGTGCTCTGCCTGTGTGCACGTGTGTGTGTGTACACGTGGGTGTGTGTGCACAGGACGGGGGTCACCTAACCTCCCCAAGGACGAATGTAACTCAGGTGGGAAATGCGTCTACCCCACTCTCCCTGAGAGCTGCTGCTGCTGAGAGCTGGAATCTTCCACCCAAGAGGCTGCTCCTACGGCTTCATCTTCAGAGTTGCCAGTACTGAGGCTGTACCCAGTGGACGATGGGGGATGCTTTCTTAGGAGATAACACTCTTCCAGACATTGAGTTTCACAACCTAATCCCCCAATTAAGTGTCTTCTCAATCCATGTAAAGAAATGCCCTCAAAGTTTTTGTTGTGAACCAAACCACATGAGAAACATCTGTTCCTCGCCAGCGTGTTGATGGCTTTCCGCCTCTTAGTAATCGTGCAGAGAAGAGTTGACGCCACAGGCCTGGGACCGTTTACTCTTAGGCAGGCCTGTGGCGAGCTAGGTCCCGGGGTGTGGTCTGGGATCATGAGTTCCCAGAGGGCTCCCACCCACCATTCCCTAACCGGAGGGCGGTTCGCTGTGCCTGCACAGCTGTGAGCACCATGCGGTCTGTGCTGAGTGGCCTCTTTCCTCTGGAGCCTCGAATCTCAGTGGCACCAAGCAGGGACATCCTAGAAGACCAACCCCCAGTAAAGCCCTGGGGAGGGGTCGCTAAGGAGCCTCACTAACAAACAGCATTTAACACGTGGGGTCACAGCACGTGAGCACTTCACACAGGTCACAGCACATGCTAGGAAATTCAGCGTCCCGTGTGACTGTGAGGAGGGGTCCGGAACCTCACCGCACCTCTTACTGTAATGAGTCACAGCGGCAACAGGACTGTATCCTACATCCCAGGAGCTCCCCCAGCAAGTCATGGAAACTGGAGAGGTGGAGGGGACCCCAGGGCAGTTGCTGAAAGAGGTCCTTTTGGAAACCGACCTGGAAGAATATCTGCCAGCTGCCCACGCCTCGTCGCGTGGCAGGCATTCTCAGCTGTTTGCTGGTTCCCTGTCTACACCTTCCCCAGCAAGGCTGGCTGCAGCCACTCTCCCCGCTCTCCTTAGTGTCCCAGCCAGACTCCCAGCCCCATCCCTCTCCCAGTTGCTCAGGATAGAAGGCAGGGTGCCCCTGGCACCTGGGTCCTACCATCTCAGTGGCATCCCTCCGCAGAGGCCACTCACCAGAATCTTCCCTCATCAGGCCCTGCCGCACCCCAAACCAAGCACTGTCTTTGTGCCACATAGCTGCTTGCTCTGCCCTTTCCACCCGTCTGTCCACAGCCATCAAGGGGTCCCCCAGCTTCCTGCCCAGGTCCTCCTGCCTCCCAGATTCCTGGCTGGCCTGGGACATTCTCAGCCCCGCCATCCTCCTGGCCCCAGGACCACTCTGCTGCCACTCCTGCCACACGGAGCCGATTCTGCACAGACTTCCAGAAGCACCCTCCCCTACTTCCCCAGTTCCTCACAGGGCCCAGACTCTCATCCTGTCCAGATGTAACTTCCACAAGGACCTTCCCGCTGACCCAAGCCCTCTCTGCTTTCCTGCCCCCTCGCCTGATGTGAAGTTGCACATCGAGTGAGTCTCCTAGGGCTGCTAAGACAAATTGCCACATGCTGGTGGATTAAAACAACAGAAATTCTCTGATCATTGTGAAGGCCAGAAATCTCAAGTCGAGGGGTCTGCAGGGGTATGCTTCCCCCCACGGCTCTATGTGAGAATTCGTTCATCACTGTAACTCAGAAATCTGGAACAGTATATCACCCTTATTCAGTACTCATAAATAATGGATGGGTGGATAGATGGATAAGTGGATGGATGGGTGAAGGGACAGGTAGACAGATACATGAGTGGATGGATGGATGGGTGGGTGGATGGATGGACAGGTAGGCAAATGGATTGATAAATGGGTGGATGGATGGATAGGGAAATGGACCGATATGTGGATAGATGGATGGATGGGTGGATGGACAGGTAGACAGATACATGAGTGGATGTATGGATGGATACGTGGATGGATGGATGGGTGGGTGGATGGATGGACAGTTAGGTAAATGGATGGATAAATGGGTGGATGGATGGATAGGTGAATGGATGGATGGGGAAATGGACTGATATGTGGATGGATGGGTGCATGAGTGGATGGATGGATGGATGGATAGGTGTGTGTGTATGATGGTTAGATAGATGGGTAAATGGACTGATATGTGGATGGATGGATCAATGAATGAATGAATGATATTACAGGAATATGTGAGTGAAACCTGTTTTCTGCAGATAATAGTTTGAAGAGGAAACTAAATGATAAATCATTTAAACCTAACACTGTAACTTGAAAGCAAAATGGATTTATTGCCATTTGTGACAGAAATGCTGTATTTTTTGGAGAGAGCTATGAGATGGTGGTACGCAACATGAAATATCTGAATCCCACTTCAGATTTCTAATTGTTTCTGCTTACAGAGGAAAAGCCAAGTCGAAATGTCCTGAGTAAGCAATTCTCTATTGCGAGAGGCCTCTTGTGGAATCTGGGACTGAAAACGTTCTAAATGGCCCACTTCTTTTATGCATGAATTGCAAAAAGATGTGGCAAGTTTCATTCCCACTAAGAAAACTAAAAACACCTTTTGTCAAATAAATGCTACTTGCATATTTCACGTATGCACCAGTGGCCTCATAAGCGGTCAGTGGCCCATCAAAGTGCCTGCACACCTGGCTCTCTGGGGGGCAGCCATGGCAGCGCCCAGGAAGAAACACTGATGTGGCTGCCCTGCGAGCTCAGGCTACTTCATCGGGAAGCCTTGGTGCATTTTACCCACAGTGCCAAATCTCAAGTAACGGAGGAATTCCCAGGGCCTTCTGAAAAGCAGAGCTGCAATAAGGCTGCTCCCTCCAGGTTAGCTCCATCCTAGGCCAAGGACTCTATGAGCACTGCACATATTCTGTGGGTTTTATAGGAGACAGCTAGTTCAAGGCCATTCAAAGAAAGCTGCTTTGTCCAGCGCTCGGCTTTGCACAGGCCCGTATTCATATCTCATTGTTGTTTGCAGGAGAGGCAGATGCGAACCAGAACAATGGGACCTCCTCTCAGGACACAGCGGTGACTGACTCCAAGCGCACAGCAGACCCAAAGAATGCCTGGCAGGACGCCCACCCAGCTGACCCAGGGAGCCGCCCCCACTTGATCCGCCTCTTTTCCCGAGATGCCCCGGGGAGGGAGGACAACACCTTCAAAGACAGGCCCTCTGAGTCCGACGAGCTCCAGACCATCCAAGAAGACAGTGCAGCCACCTCCGAGAGCCTGGATGTGATGGCGTCACAGAAGAGACCCTCCCAGAGGCACGGATCCAAGTACCTGGCCACAGCAAGTACCATGGACCATGCCAGGCATGGCTTCCTCCCAAGGCACAGAGACACGGGCATCCTTGACTCCATTGGGCGCTTCTTTGGCGGTGACAGGGGTGTGCCCAAGCGGGGCTCTGGCAAGGTGAGCTCTGAGGAGTAGAGGAGTTTTAGTTTAAGTGGAAAAAGCAAAGGAGAAATCAGTAGGTGAATTAAGGCATTAGAGGAAGAACTGGCATGTAGCCTCTTGCTGTCTAAGGTCCGGGTCTGTGCTGGAGAATGCATTTGAGCCCAAAATTGTGGGCCTGAATTGCTGCTTAGGACATTGTTTTCATGTAACTCATCCTCTGTCTTCCTCAGAAGGGATGGTGCCCGGGGTGTGGCTCAGGGAATGTAAGGACATGCTGAATTGTGGAGCTCTAAGGGGCCCCGGGAACAGGCATTGCAGAAAGAGAGCCATGTTCTTGGGGTCTCTGGTGGTGTGTGCTTGCCGACTTTGTGACTGAGTTGCCTCTGTGGCCCACACGTTGGAGTTCAGCCCTGGGTTATGCTCGTCTTTCCTGGAGCCAGTGCTGTTAGCTTCATGTTGCTCTGCAACAATGACACAGTTGAGGTTGAGGAAGACTTTTGAACAAACTCCTGAATTTAAATCCGCCTTGAGCAAGCTTTCTCTGTGGTCTGAAAAGTGGAAGGGGTGGAGGGATACATGAGTATCTATGAATCAAAGCTTTATTATTTTGTGATTCCATTAATTTGCATATAGAGTCTTAGAAGTTTAAAAGCAAATGTTCTGTGGATAAAAACGTATCACAAGAAAATAAAAGAAAACCCTGCTCTGGGGTCCAGTGTGTAGGCATGGCTTCTGCAGTTGCTTGTCTGGAAAAGCCTGTGGCTGCAGGTTGATCAAAGCACTGGCTCCTGAGTGGCATTCAGATGGCAGAGGCATAGCCTTTCACATGACACTTAGAGTGCTTGGTGGCTGTGTAAGTTTGGAGAGAAAGAAGTTTTTCCCCAAAACGTCCTGATTTATTGGGTGTTCTCACAAACCCTGTAAGAGACAGCTATTTTTCTGCCTGTGTGCAGTGCCGATTCTGGAATTCTGGAAAGCCTTGTGGGAACGTAAAAGGCTTTTGAATAAAGTGTGGAACAGAGCTCCTCATTCTGTTAACATGCCATCATAAAAACACCACAGGGTAATCTGTGGAGTTAAGGAGTCTCTAGAATTTGCTTTAGTCTCCAGCTGCAATTCTTTATTGATCATGAAATTGTTGAAGATAAACGCAAATGTCAGCTTTACCTTTCCTGTGGGCATTGAGAGCACATTGAAGTTTCAGGCAACTGTGAACATCTCTACCGTCTGCTCTGAGTTGAGAATTCATGTTGTGACACTTGCCATGACTTACTTGTAAATAACATTTGGTGTATCCACAGTGCTTCTGGAATCGATATTCTGGCTAGTTCTTTCAGTGTATTTGTAGACACTTCCTTTCCCTTTGTGGCAGTACTCCCCCACCCTGAAATGTTGGTGATCCAACCTATTTCTAATGCTAATTTCAACTGGAAGCACTTTTTCAAACCACACCTGATACATATGGATTCGGGCTGCGTGGTGAAGCGCTGCTGTTATGCTAAGCACCCCTCATGCATACAGCATCGCCACTTTTGAAAGCTTGAATCATTCTGCTCAATGAAAGGTACAGAAAAAAAATGTATTTAAACTGCAGAAAAGGTGAAATCGCTGGATAGCATGTATTATAAAACAAGCTTCATGTCAGAGATAATGGTTTAAGTTGAAATAAAATGGTGAAAGCATTGATATCATTGTGACTTTATCTCAAAATGGATATAGAAAGGCAGAGATGTGTTTCTTCCTCTAAGATTACAGCATTCATTGTCTTAAATCCCTTATATGCTTCAATATTTTGAAAGAAAACATTCTAGTCTCAGAAATAGTCAACATCTTTGCAAAATAGGACCCAGAAAAATTAAAACATTTTCAAAAATTTTAAAAATAAAAATTTTTACATAATTGCTTTAAGAATTTTGAAATATCAATTCTTTTCACTATCGAGTATTGAATATAGAAGATTTTTTAATGAACAGGCTTGCCCTTTGATACCAAAGGCAAAAAGTAGTAACATTTGCACACGTGATCGTACAGCAGCCTGTGAGGCTTCCCTGTGGAAAGTGCACAGCGGGGATGTGTATTTGTTCCACTCCACTATTTTATCACAAAGTGTTTTAAACATGGGAGATGAAAGCTTAACTCTTTCTACACCCAGCTACAAACCCATAATGGCCCTAAAAATCTGGGCTATTCATTGGTGTGGGCTGCCATGGATGAACTTTTGGGTTTTTATTTTTTGCTCTGTTTACAAATCAGAAGAGCCGCAGTTTTTATCTGCTAGAAAGGTCCTTCAGATAGACTGAAGAGGTGTGCAAGGAGGAGGAGTGGAAGCCTGAGCCCTGTGTCGGGACCACGGCAGCTGCCCTGCCCACCCGGCAGTTCTTTGGGAACACAGTTCTTCTGCTTCTCCATCTAGAACAAGGGTGGCAGATTCCTACCAGACTCTGAATGGAGCCCCCCTGCCATGACCCTATAAAAGGGGCTATTTGTCCCTTCCTACCCTCCTGAGCTCTCCCTCCCTCCTCTGAGGGCACATGGCCACTGGTACCACATGTTGGAGGGGCCGCCCCCGGCCCTGGGAATGCCCTAACAACACCCACGCTTGTGTCACTGGGAGCTGACATTCAAGAAAAGTACATTAAAAATTCCTTGAGGAGGCATATTCTTTTGAGAGCCATAAATGAAAAGTGCATTCACAGAGAACATGCTCCTTTGTTGTGAGAGCAAAGGACTTTTGTTGCCTTTAAGGAACAGGTTTCCCAGTTCCCCGGAATGTCAGGGTCGCGTGAGGAATGGATGGGCACTTAGGGCTAAGACTGGCATGTGCTTAGCCCAGCGGTGTCCTCTCCAAGTGACCTCCCCAGCATCAGTCTTCTGCCAGTGCTGATAGCTGAGGCCACTTGAATGGCACGAGGCAGAGCCTGGAGGCGTTAGCTTTGGACACCACTCCTTCCTTTTTATAGAGAGGAAGCTTTTACAGAACACCTAAGCAGGACAGGATGTACCATGAGGACAGTTCCCAAAACAGAATGCAGCCAGGACACCCTGGCCCCTGCTTCTCTATGCCATATACTTTTAGGGAGTTTTTTTAAAAGCTAACTTCTTACTGATAATTTTGTCTATTTTTCTGTTTGACATTAAGACCTCCATTTATAACCTGTTCTCAGTATTCTGTAATTCAGCATTCAGTATGACTTCTATGCCTCTGACTGTTTGGGGGAAGAACTCTGTCATTCAGTGCCGTGGGGGATCTTCAGTGCTGTAAATTAATCACAATGTTCTGTTGCCCGATTTATTTTCCATTGCATTTTAATTTCATTAAGCATATTTTAGTTCTACCGTAACCTAATTCCTCATTGTTAATATGAGATCCTAATTCTGTAACTGTGTTCTGTAATCCCACGGGGGGTGTCGCATTTGGAGACACATGAAGGATACAGTAGCCACACGGAGGGCCAGCCACGCACAGGGCTATCCTCTCTCCTGAGTGCAGGGTGCACCCAGAACCAAATTCCATGTCTTTCATCACGAGCGTGCGTGGGCACTGACCCGGCCACCCAGCGCCTCCATCAGATGAGAGATTTGGCCAGAGATTCTTCTAAAGAAAATCCAAATATGGAGGGTACATTTGTTTCTGCACTCAAACACCTAATGAGATTTCCTAGAGGAACTCCTCTCGAAGTCCCCTGGCCCTGATCAGTTATTGATCGGAGGCTTCCCTGGCTTGGTCGCCAGCTGCTCCCTGTGTCCTTCTATGGTCTGCAGATGTTGCTGTTGTGTGAACAGGCGACAGCTAATTAGCCTGGACGTGTCTGTACTGGCATTGATTTTACAACTTCCTCTGTACAAGCGATACATTTGTAAATCATGGTCATGGATTTCATGGTGATTGCCTGTGGTGGTTGTATCACGATTTAATTCTGAGCTTTTTGCTTTATATATTTTTCTGCCATTTCATGCATTCATTAAACAGTTTAACAGACCATGGACAGTATACTAATTGCATGTGAACTTTCTTAAGTTGTCGTTTTTGGTTGCCCTGTATACGTCAGTGTGCTGTGTGGCCGGCATTTCCGTGGCCTGGTGACACAGCGGACAGGTAAGTCTGAGCACCCAAGCTCCTGTGCTTCTGCGCAGGAAGGCCACAGTTGCTTGCTCCTCTGCCTTTATGACACAAAGACATGTTACTCTCTTCTGTCCACCGACAGTCCGGTGTTCTGCTCTTTCTATTATGACTATTCTGATTCTGCCTCTAGTTTTTCATGTTTCTCTCAAAGCATCATCTGCGAATGTTAGGGCAGGTGGACACTGAGCAGACCCCGCTGGCTGGTGCTGTCCCCAACTCAGCCCACCCACCAGCACCCCCCGAATGAACGCGCACATGGGGGCCAGTGCCCGCAGAGCTCACACACAAAGGGGAACAAGGGGGGTCACAGGACCCTCGTGACACTGAAATAAAGAAGACGCTGGCTCTCTGAAGGGTGATAATGAGTGTATGAGATTAAGGTGAAACTCGGGGTCCTTGAGAAATTAGAAATGAGAGTAAAGATGAGTGAGTGGCTTGGAGGTGGCCCTGCCGTTCATATCCCATCAGACCCTTGTTTTAACTCCTCCCTTCAAACTCATTTTCATTTTAAAGCATTCATTTCTCTCATCATCGATTTTCCTTTGATAAAAAGACTGGCCATTTGATAACAGGCAATTCTGATCGGCGGATTAGGAGCTTGGCTTGACCTCTGAGGGAACAGATCATCCTTAGGAAATAAACATGCAATAGCACTCCTGTGGAAATCGCTTAGCTATTGATTCAAATTTAAGAACTATGGACATTTCCTATCAAAACCCAATTCAATATGTTTTTGTAAAAATTTTTTCCTTTATGTCTATCAGCATATTCTTAATGCTCTGAAATCATCCTACTACTTCTTAAAAAATAGAGTAAAAAAGGAAAAACAGCTAAAGAAAACTGAACTCTTTTGAGGGAGACATAAAAGGAGGCTCAGCACACACAATTTCTCAAGACGATTCTTGCCTTTCGGTTTCTCTGGCCTTTGCATTTGTCCTCCCTCTCCCAGGTTCTGGGAGTGGCAAGAGCTGGGGTTACCGGTTCCATTTCCTGAAGACCATCAGTGGGATGCCTTATATCTACCCCAGCCACCTGCCATCCCCATGGGTAGATGGGGAGTCGGCAGAGGGGCTTCACGCCAGCCCACCAGAGCCATAACACCATGTCTCACAGTGGTGATCCTCTTCTTGAGAAGAACCATTGTAGGAGATGAGGGAAAATAAATGGAAAGTTCTGTTTGTTGGCTGTGTGCATAATGTGCACTTGCTCATGGACACCCATTGATGGGGGCCGCTGCTTAGGGGAACAGCCATTGTTTAGGGGGACAGCCACTGCTTAGGGGGACAGCAGCTCCCACAGTCTCGTCCATGGAGACACCCTCTGAAGTGAATACTCAATTGACTTACTCTTTAATATCATGAATTAAAGTCACCAGAAATTCCTGCCAATGTAGAAATAGCCTCTCTCATGCAGGGAGAATCCGTTAGGAGACATAGAGCTAAGCACACACCACAGATTTGCCTCTGAAAACCCCAGAATGTTCACTTTCCACAATACTCCTAGAATGTGCTCACATTCTTCCATGTGGAACTGCTCGATTCTTACCATACTCAGCTGCTAACTTGTTTAAAAGAATCCATTTCATCTGCAGGCAGTACATCTCCTGATGCCTGTTATCCTGGTTTCATCTCCTGGCCACTATGAGTCTCTCTCCTCTTTTCCTTTCTGTCTTCATTTTGCTGTAGATGATAGTCAAGAAATAGACACTTCTTGCAGAGCATTTTCCTTGGTTCTATAATCATAGTCCTTAAACTGCAGCCCTCAGAGTTCATGGATGCAGCAGATACTCTCATGTAACTGACAAAGAATACAGTAAGTCAGGAGCAAATGGTATTTAGGAAGATTTATAACAGAGCTCAGGTGAGCGCGCAGCTCCTGCTCCTGCTGAGGAAGATTAACTTCCTACTTATGTTAAATTCCTAACCTTCAGTAGCAAGGAAGAATGTCAGCAGGAAAACCAGCTCTAAGTCATTGGCTAAAGTGACTTTGAACACTGCTGCTCCTAAAATTACTTCCTTATGCTCTGCAGAAAATCTGAAACAGCCCGTCCTCGGTTCACTGAACCTTCGCAGAGCAGGAATGGTTTCCACCTGCATTTTTCCTCCCTCTTTCTGGCTCTGGGAGTGGCAGGCAGCTGGGGTTACAGGTTGCATTTCCTGAAAACTATCAATGGGACGCCTCAAGTCTACCCAGCCAGCTACCTCCCCCATGGGGGAATGCAATGCAGAAGCGATCGCACTTGCTATAAAAGAAAAAAACACAACTGTGCAAGTAAAGCTGAATGTAAAATGTATCCATTCCATGCTAGACATCAAAAAAACCCTTTTAGTGCCCTTTGCTCTAGACTGGGAAATGCCTTCTGCACTTGATTGTAGAAATCTGACACATCTGGTGCCTGTGGCCATGTTTGGTCCCATCGTTTGCTACAGGTCCTCAGAATAGACTTTGGAGGAGAATTCTTCCCTAAAACTTTCCTTTTGCTCTTGGTTACCTGAGTCCTTTGGGGCGCTGCCTGCCATCTCCTCTCGGTGGTCTGTCCATCATCCATCTCTGCACACACCCTCTTCGCTCACCATCACCCGCCATCCTCCATCTCCTGCTCACTCCTCCTCCATCTGGGTTCCTGCCAAGCCAGCTCTAGAGGAGATTTGCTGGAGGACTTTGGGGCACTGCCAGCGGCGCCCACCCAGACTCACACAGCCCACTCTGTGTCCCCCGGCAGGTACCCTGGCTAAAGCCGGGCCGGAGCCCTCTGCCCTCTCATGCCCGCAGCCAGCCTGGGCTGTGCAACATGTACAAGGTAAGACGCCGGCGGGTCCCCAACCATCGGGGCCAGGGATGACCTGCCCTTACCTGGGCTCTCAGCCACTATCCCGCAGGGCAGGTAGTGGCACTGCCACGGGTCCACCCCAGTCTCTGGGGCATCTGTGAGGCTGTCGAAGCAGGGAGGCAGACCTCCCCCGGGGGGAACCAGATGCAGAAAGAGACAAATGCCCAAGAAGGGCATGGAGGGCAAGCCTTTGAAGCCTTGGAGGGGAGCAAAGGGCGTGGCTATCAGCTCAGGACGGTGGGCAAGACTTGGTGACAGGGTCTGCCTCACTGTGCCCAGGCCTGAAGGGCATGGAGGGCCTGGGATGGCTCTGGTATCTGAGGGCTGGCCTGAACCTGGGCCACTCGCATACCCATGCCTGAGTTTGCTTTGAAACCTAGTGCCTAGCAGACATTTAGCACTTGCTAAACACGGGTTGAATTAAGCTCTAAACGATGGGTGCCCATGGGACGTCCAGCCCCTCTGGGCTCTGTCCTCACCTGAGTGCAGCTGGGCTCTGCATAGGAAGTGGGCTATCGCTGTGGCCTGTCCTCATCTCCTGATGCAGCTGACATGGCTTCTGAAAACACGATGGTGCCAGGAGCAATCACGAAGAAGGCAGGAGGGGAAGGGGCAGGCCCAGGGCTGGCACCGAAGTCACCGTGAGCACACTAGGAGCAGCCACCACAAACCCGCGGCCACCAGGCCCTCTTCCAGGTCCAAGCCACCACCATCTGCAGCTTGGCACCTGGCTTTTAAAGCCTGGGACTATGCAACAGATTGGAAACACGTGCTCAAGTACTTAAGTAGCACGAGCATTTCACAGCTGTGCTTGATGGAGCACCAAGTGTGAGGGAGAGCAGGGGTCGCCCTCTCCAGAGGCGTGCAAGATGGGAGCATTTACACTCAGCAAGGAGCACAGGAGCACGGGGGTGGGAGGACAGGACGCCTGTGGACGCCAAAACTTGGAGCCCCTGAAGGGGAAGCGTTCACCAGGTGTGGCTGCATGTCAGACATCAGCTAATGGCTGGGCGTCCAGGGCTGCTCCGCTACGGGCCAGGAGTGGGTTTACAAGTTATTAAGGATGTGCCTGCTGGCCCCAGGATGGCCAGTCCAGGGCGGTGGCTGAACGTGCAGCAGAGGAACCAGGGCTTGGGGGCAGAAGTGTCCTGGGGGAGCCGGGGCCAGACAAGGACCAGGTGAGAGCCGCAGGGTGGTCGTGGGACGTGGAGTGACCAGCAGCTGCGGCCGGGGGAAAGGATTTCTTCCTCAAGCCACAGGGGAGGAGGCAGCGAGGCACCCTGCGGAGCCTCAGTGGTTTGCACTCATCCCGAGAGTCTGTGTTTAGCTTGGATTGTGTCCTCGTTGAGAAGCTGCACTTGATTTTCAAGAGCTCTCTTGGTGATGAAAACACCCCCACTGCCCCCAGGTAGCTTCTGAGGCTCCGCTATCCTTCTGGGAGGTCTCTTCCCTGGGACGCACTGGGCTGTGGCCACCTGGGCTTCACAGCCTGGGCAGCGCCGACCATGCGGACCCCGCCCTGGAGAGCAGTGCCGGTGAGGATTTTAACTCTGCGTGGAGGAATATCTGACGTGGGAGGGCTGAGCTGAGGATGCCACAGCACCCGGTGTGTGACGTGCTGGCAGGCCACAGCTTGCCCCCCGCCCTGTTCCCTGCTCCACCAGAGGCACGTTGTCCTCAGTGGACCCTGGCCACGGAGAGGTGGAGCCTCCGCTAGAAACCCCCCATGTTGCCAAGCAGAGAGGAGAGGATGAGCGTCCCGGGCTTCAGTATCCAGATCATAGCAAGAAACTCAGCAGAATGCTTGATGCCTCTTCTAAAAAATTATTTAGCAGAGAAAAGCAGCCCTCCATTCTCCACTGCGCCATCCAAGACAGGTCTTTGTATGTACCTTTAAAAACCTGGCCAAAGATAAGTCGATGCTCTGCATAGCACTCCACCCACATGGCTGCCCAAGGGTCATGCTCCAGTGCACACATGACAATGTCATAAAGTCCTGCAGGCTCCAGGGTGCAGCTCCTTTCACTCAGTGCTGTGCACCTGTGGGTACCCCATTCTGGTCCATATAGGAAAAGCAGTAGGGGTGTGTGTGTGTGTGTGGTATTTACGTGTCTGTGGAGTGAAAGGAAAATGAAAACAAGCACAGGCAGGAACTAAAGGATGAGCCAGCTGTGTGGGCTCCCAACGTTGCTCCTGATGGACAGAGAACCCTCCCAGGGCTACGTGGTAAAGGCTTCAACTTCTCCCTCCAACCCCCTGAGCTGGGGCTGGCAATGCCTGGCTTCCAGAGGCCTCTCTGCGGGAGCTGCACACAGAGGGGCAGGCAGCCTGGTCTCAGGGCCCCCAGGGTGTCCCTGCCCGAAGACGGGGGCAGTCCTATGCCATTTGCATATGGAGTGGAAGAATAAGCCAGAAGCTTCTCTCTCATTTCTGAGAAAGAGCTTTTGAGTTTGAATGTCTTCCTCCGGGATTTGGGATGCTTTCTCATTGCAGGACAGTGGCTGTGAGGCACCAGCCACAGAGAAAGGAATTACAAGGCCAGAGGCAGGCAATGGTTTTAAAATAGAGGGATTTAAAATGCAGGGATTCCACGACAAAAGGCCCTTGAAGTCAGCTCCCAACAGAGACAGAAGCAGCTGGGTGGAAGGCTCAGGCTGAGCAGTGCCAGGATCCAGCAGAAGTGGAACCGAGAACCCCCTGCCCTGCGGCTCAGAAACACCACAGCACTCATGCCCTAAGCTGAACGGGGGTCTCTGCTCGGCCCATCAACATGCTTCACCCTGCATCTGTCTGCACCTCCCTCTCTCCCTCCCTCTTCGTGTCTCTCCCCCTCTTCCGTCTCCCTCCCTGTGCAGACACCCCAGGAGAGTAAGGGAGACCCCCCCCCAGCTATGAAACAAGCACCAAGGCAAAGAACAACCCAGCTCCAGACCTGGGGTGCCCCTCCAGAACGGGACTGCTCCCAGCTCCCTGACTCTGGAGACACGGGTGCTCTCGTGGCTGACCGGGCTCTTTTATTTGAGGACTGGAAGGGGGGCAGCAGGAGCACAGGAGGGGAATCACGCAACATCTGCACACCCAAAAGCAAGCAGGGGAGGCAAGGACTCTGAAGACAAAGGAGAAACACACGTGACAGGGAACGGCTGCATGGGATGTGGACATGCTCTTCTCTGCAGTTTGCCTGTCTGCACAGCCCCCGCCTGCCCGCCTGCCTGTCCATCCAGCGCTGCAGGTCCCTGAAACATGGTGCTGGGCCTGCACTGGAGGCTGGGGTGAGGGCACCTGCAGTGCAGCTGGAAAGGTGACCCAGGGCAGGGTGCCTCCTCTCAGACCTACACACGGTGCCAGCTCCTCCACACTCCAGGCTCGGCCCAGGGCCTAGGACACAGACCTGAACAGGGAGGGACAGGACACCCTGCTCTGGGCTTCCAGCAGCCACCGTCTCCGTGTCCTGGACATCCTTTCTGCCTCGTTTTTCGCTGGCCCTCATGCTCCTGGCCCGCCTAGAAGGACAGTGTCCACCCCTCAGCCTCACGCCCACGGAGGCTTCTGGAAAGACCTGCCCTGCCTCTGAATCCACCGTCACCCAGCACATTGGTGTTCAGGAGGCAAAACATTTTGTCCCATGGAAAAGCAAAGAAGTAAGAACCAAAAACGCTTGGCTCGGGTCTCACAGCATCACGTCACTCCCAGGGACCTGGGGCGGGTGTCCGTCTCCTCTGAGCTTCCTTCCCTCTCCTGTAAAAAAGCATCCGCGGCAAAGCGTCACCCATCCTGCAGAGGCCGTGGAAGTTTGTGCTGATGGAATGGGAAAAGCCATGCCAATGCCCACAGGAGCCTCGTCCTCTGGAAACGCTGGTGTCATCGGAACCCTGCATAGTGCCACGCCACACTCGTGCCGTTCTGGAAGAGGCCTGGTGGCCTTGGAGCTGCCGGGGAGGGCAGCACTGACTCTAAAACGCCCTGGGGCCCCCGGCCCCTCTGCCCATCAAGGCTGTAGCTTTGGGTCCTCTGTGTTTCTGTACTCTAGACTTAGTTTCTTCAACTGTAAAATGAAAATCAGAGTGGCGAACCTCACATCAATCCTTGCTTCCACCATTTTTAGAAGGAAGTGGCAGTCAAGCCTCCAAAGCTCTGTGGTCTGGCGTGGCCGGACTAGAGCTCGGCTCTCTGGCCATCAGCTCCACGTCATCTGCAGTTGGGAAGCAGACATCTCTGAGCCTCCCTGAAGGAGAAGAGTCCCTCTTGCCATGAGGAAGAGGAATTTTTCCCATGGGTCTCTGGGGATGAGGAACAGAGACTCTGCTTCCCGGCACCACGGTCTTCAAGGCCATGCTTCTGCACAGAGACGCCATGGCAAAATGGTACCCAGGGGTGAGCTGGCATCAATGTGCCACCCAGAGAGGCCACAGCACAGCCACTCAGTGGAAAGCACGCAACCATTTTTAGGACTTCCTGCCCCATCTGACGACAGCTTTCAGCTCTGACAGGTGCCATCTGTCCCCCTCCAATGCTTCCCCCTCTTCAGCACACTCACCAGGATGGGGAGGCTGGAACCCGCCATCAAAGCTCTTCCCTTTTGAGGTTAAACCCATGTCAGAAAAATACAGCCAATGAAAGGGTTTACTTCATGGTTACTTCACAGGCTGCCGACGCTTGGCTTGTGGTGTCCTTCTGTGGCCAGGGCCAGAGCCCAGTGTGTGTCCCACATGGTTTCGTGCCAAGAGGTCTCCGATGCCAACCTCTGTATCACCAGTGAACAAAGGCAAAGGCCCCCAGAGAAGGCCACGGGAGCTTCACTTCCCCCCTGAAACAGGAGAGAAAACACCACCCGATATGCCCGGCTGCGTCTACAAAAGCAGTATCTGAATCTCTGTGTCCAGCCTCACAGTTGCCAGGAGGAGAAACACTGATCCTCCTGCCACAGCGCAAAGCCACAGCCCCCTGAGTGGAGCACCAGGAGGGAACCA